ACTTTTTAGAATTAAAAGGGGGGAAGGTTCTGATTCTGATTCATCCTAAAACAAGCAGGACATAGAAAATGTACATACTAGTAATCCTTCTAGGAAATACATTAGGGAATGTTTGCTCTGAGTTTTGTATTAGGATGAGAAAGTTTTGAATAGTCTAAAAGTTTCAAGTCACATACATTTGGGTGTGACACAGGTTCATTTGGTTGGGGTACTATGTAAAATGGGATCAAAACAAAATTGAGTCTGTGAATTTTTTTGATTTGTTCATGGAAATCTAACAGAAACCTAAATTGTATTAGCCATCTTTAAAACACACTTTGTTGGGGGGCTGGAGAGATGGCTCAGTGGTTAAAAGCACTGACTATTGCAGAAGACCGAGGTTTGAATGCCAGCATCTACATGGCAGCTAGCAACCATCTGTAAATGACACAGTGCATTTACACACATGCAGGCATAACATTCATATACATAAAATTAAAACAAAAACAAAAACACTTTGCTGGATCAAGGGGTAAAGGGCATACGGTAGGATATACATAAATCCACGACCACTTCTGTCATGTATCTCACTGGCAGTAAGGTGAGAAGTGTATACACAAAGTCCACATGCTCTCCCTAAGAGTGACAACCAAAGGAATGTATACCATAAAACAGTAAATGTATGAAAAGTTTCAATCAATGTACAAGTTCTTCTAAATACTTTCTATGACATCACACACAACACAGTTTTCATTTTCCCCTCAGTGGGGGAAAATATTCTTACCATCTGTTTGAGATTTGCTGAGGAAAATTGTGCTTGCCCTTGGATGATCAGAAGGGTTTGATTCCAAAGCTAAATCTATTAAGGAAAGGAGAAAGATGTGACCATCTATTTCAGCAAAAAAGTACATTGTTTTGAAAATAGTTGCATGTGGCTTTAATTACTCTTAACCTTTTAGTGAAAAGGTTTTAATTATGACTACGAAGGAAATAAAGGCAACAATATAAAAATTTTTCCCTGGGAAACTGCAAAATTGTAGAATTTCTCTAGTCATGTGAAATGAAACTCAGCTACAACTTTTACTTTTTAAAAAACCTGTATTTGTGCTGTTATTACTGGAACACTTCCCAACAGCTGCAAGCAGCAAGCTGCTGTTGGATGCTAGCTCAATCCATCAAATATGCTAAAACAAGATAACTGGTTTTGACACACACTCTTTAGACAACCACATGGTTAATTCTAACTTGGTCAGACAAGTAAGCTCATTTAGTTGTTTATTTGGGAACTATTCATTATGCAGATTTACAAGGACTACATAAAAACTCAATGGCCAAATAAATCCCTATAATCTTCATGAATAGAAACTGATTTTTAACTTTCAGCCTCCATTTCCAAGGCTACATTCACTCACCTTTTCCTGCTGCAGTCCACCTTGGGAGCAAGATGGAATAATCTATTTAATCAAGACTACAAGATGGAGTCCTAACTTTCCACAATGCACCCTTTTAGTCTTCATATGAGAAAAGAAAGCTTTTTTTGAGGGAGAAGAAACACCTGACACTTCTCATTAGTGCCCATCTTAAGCTACTCAACCAATCTTGTAAGAAAACAGACCAAGATTCAGACAGAGCAATGGTAAAGAGATACTTCTCAAGCCACGATGGCCACTGCTCTACTCCTTGAAAAGAGGGCTTTAGTGGTGAATCAGTGTGCACCGTTACATCCTTGGCGATTACAGAATATACATGTCACATATTAAAAACTTCACTGAGTTGGAGAGATAGTTCAGTGGTTAGTAGTTCATATTGCTCTTCAGTGGACCCAAGTTCAGTTCTTAGCACCCACATGAGGCAGCTCACAACCACCTGTAATGAATGCCCTCTCTTCTGTTCTCTGTGTGCACTGGCAATCGTGCAGATACACACAGTTGAAGATTAAAAAAATAAGCCAGATGTGGTGGCATCCCTCTTTAATTCCAAAACTCAGAAGGCAGAAACATGTAGATCTCTGGGGTTTTGAGACCAGCCTGGTAGACACAGTGAGCTCCAGGCCAGCCAGAACTACACAGTGAGATTCTGTCACAAACCAAACAAAAAAACACCCCAAAGCAAAACCCTACTTTACTGCCTAACTCAACATTTCATAAATATATGTACTTGGAGCCCTTTTTTCCCCCTCTTCAAGTAACATGATTAGAATCATGCATGAACATAATTTAGGACTTTGTAGTGTAACAGGAATTTGAATCATTCACTTTATTTTTACAACTATTTTTTTGAGACAGTGTCTCTATGTAGTTCAGGCTGGCCTTGAACTATGTAGCTCCTGGAGCTCCAGGATCCTCCTGCCTCAGCCTTCAGGGTACTGTGATTACAAGGGTGCATCTGACTGAAGAAAACTATTCTTATTTAAAAATTCACAAAAGGGGCTGGAGAGATGGCTCAGAGGTTAAGAGGACTGACTGTTCTTGTAGAGGACCCAGGTTCGAGTCCCAGCACCCATATGGTGGCTAACAATTGTCTGTAACTCCAGTTCCAGGGATCTGTGGCGATCCAGTTCTGACCTCTGTGGGCACTGCACGACATCAGCGCACTTACACACATGCAGGCAATACACTCATACACACTGAAAAAAAAAGATCCACACAGAATCATTTTAAAGGTTTTCTGTGGGCTGGAGAGATGGCTCAGCAGTTGAGAGCACTAGCTGCTCTTGCAGAGGACCCAGGTTCAAATCCCAACACCCACATGGCAGCTAACAACTGTCCTTAACTCCAGTTCCAGGAGATCTGATGCCCTTTCCTGATCCCCACGGGCACTGCATGACACAGGTGCACTCGCATGCAGGCAACAGGCTCATACACATAAAATAAAAATAACAAAATATTTAAAGGTTTTCTGACATCTTTAAGAAAATAATGAGGCAAGATTAGCTATATGGAAAAATAAAGCCCTATATGCATAGAAATTTCACAGCTGTTTTTAACCTAAAGCTTCTTTCTCAAAGGATTTAGGATTACTTCCTTCCAAAAAGCAAGTATCTTACCATCTGAATTAAAATGTAATTTGCTGATTAAACTACTAAAAATAACCATATTATTCGATCTCAGTATTGGAGGTTGGAGGGGGGAGAATCAAGAAAATTTAACAAGTCCAGGAAAACAAGTACGGGTATCAAAGAGGACTAGGCTTACAACACACATGCATGAAAATGTCAAATCAAAGGGCTGGAGAGACGGCTCAGTGGTTAAGAGCAACTGCTACTCTTGCAGAGGACTGAGGTTTAGCTCCCTGACACTCACACTGGGAGGCTCATAACTGCCTCTAACTCCAGTTCTAGGGGATCTGAACACTTTCCCCTGGCTTCCACAGGCACCTGCACACACGGTGCACATACACACACTCAGACATGCACACATACACAAAAAATAAATCTTTAAAAAAAAAGTACTAAATCAAGATGTGCAATTATGGACCCAAAGACAAGATCCAAGAAAGCTGGGATAAAAACAGTGACATGTAGAGGAGAGGGGGTTAAATTAGTTCAAGTGTCAAACTGGCTCTCCCCTACCCTAGGTTTTGGAGACGATTATATGCTCCAGAGCTGGTCAATCAACTGCAGCTCTCTTGAGACTTGCCAAGAGCCAGAGGAGAAAGGTAGACCTGTACTCTAGGATCACTAGCTGCTAGTGAGGAGATGTTGGAGGCTCCCTTTACTATTGGAGCAGAACGGAAACAGCTCCTGAGATCATTTAATTCCCAGGTCAAGCTGTAGTTCACCTCTGTGAATCCCTTGGTTATACTATACATAACTATTTGAGATAGACATTCTGATTCACAACTGAAAACAATCTAGTTAATCAGCGGTATTGAGCACATTAAAAGTGAGATGGATCAAACTCAAGAAATTAGCAAAAGCCCAAATCAGGCTTACTTTAAAGACTATCAATACACTCACAATCATTAACAGTTGGCTATCTTCCTTTTTCTTTTTTTTGGTGACAGGCTTTCACTATGTAGCCCTGGCCAGCCTGGAAATCCCAGAGACCTACCTGTCTGCTGAGTGCTGGAACTAAAGGCATGCACCACCATACCCAGTTTGGTTATTTTTTTTTTTAATGCATCTTTTTTTTTTTTCCTTTTCCCATTGCATATTTTTAATTTTAAAGTAACTAAAAATTTTTTATATTGAATTTGTGATTTTTATACAATTTAATGGAATTTAGATCCTCTTCTCTATCTGCACCTCCACTTACTGCCCCCCAATACAATTTAATGTACTCTATTTACACACACACATACACATACACATACACATACACACACACACACACACACACACACACACACACACACACACACATATATGGCCTACAGTCTAACTTGTGTCCCCAAATGTCCTTCAGTGTGGGTCTACCCACTGGAGCCTGGCTAGCCTACCAAGAGTCACAGCCTTGAAAGAGAGACTGACGCTCTCCCTCCTAGACAATAGTTCCTCAGATAGGGTTGGGTTTCTTACCCACTTTCCCACCAGATTTTGCCTGATTTGAGGTTGGTTATCCACCAAAACTTCATGGTAAGACCTTATTGCTGAATATACTACATACATGAGCTATAGAACAAACAAGGAGAAATCAAGCTGGTACTGACTCCAAAGTCTCATCTCCATGGTGCTTATGCATGCTACCGGAAGGGAAAAATAATCATCAACCTCACCTAGCTGTGAATCCTGTGAACTATAATAATTAGCCTGGCAAGATATGCCCACCAGCGCAACAGTTGCATGAATAGTATGGGAATAACCAAACACTTTCTAATTAGATTTAAGGTCCACTTCATAGGACAGAGTCCATATCTGACATTGGTATCAGGTCTAGGAACCTGAGGCTAGACAGCTCATAGGACATGGGGAAGAGCCTAATACTAGTTTTCTACTAAACAGCTATATAGTATTAAACTGACTCCTAATGATTTATTGTTATACTCACAAATTAATTTATCTCTCAACTCTCACCAGAGAGGTTTCCTTATGCAGCAGACGGTGATTAACACAGAGAACCACAACTGGCCAACGAACAGAGAATAAGAGGCTGCAGAGTGCTTATCCTTGAATAGGACACCTATATCAAACTTCTGCTTCCCAAGGCTCAGGGATCATTGTGGAAGAGGGAGAGGAAAGACTGTAAGAGTCAGAGGAGGTGGATGATCACAAGGAAATTGTGAGTTTTCCAGACAGCTGGTCAGTTACGCAAATGAATTCACAGCAATAGTGGCAGCATGCACAAGTCCCATGAAAGCTCTTGGGCATTTCTTAAAAAAAAGAAAAAGGCTCTTGGGCTGGGGTTGTAGCTCAGTGCTTAAGTACCTGCCTTGTATGAGCAAGGCCCTGGGCTGGATCCATTGAACCAAAAGCAAACAAAACATCACCAAAACCTCTTATCAATTCACAACTTATCTCCTTTTAAAGAAATATCTTACTCCTTACACATACAACATATTTACTGCTTAATGTATAACGACACAGCAGGTGTCATTCCCACACTTAGTTCAGTCAATCCTCTATGGGGGATTTAGGCATTTATAAAATTCTGTCCTTAAGAGGAAAATAAAGCACATAGTATTTTAAATCATTCTTTTCATCTCCTTAGGAAGGATCTTCAAATATGAGATCACTGTTGGATCATTTCATGGTTCAATATACAGTGCTAAATTGCTTTCTACAAGAAGCAAAGACACACTGAGGTATAACACTACCAATTATCTCAGTTTTAACTCCTATCCCAGCTTAAGATACTTAAAAATTTCCTGATGGCTGTAAATGAGGAACATTCCTGTGGCTCTAATTTGCATACATCTGAT